GCTAGGTTGTAGAACGCTATTTAAAAGCTCTGATTTCTATAGAAATAATTTTTGGAAAATTTAAGCTCAGAATATCTTATGTCTTGCATGGCTGTATCTACTTGCGTCGGTCAACGCCTAAACAGCCGGTTTTCGCGACATTATACACACGACTGGTAGCAAAAGCGTTAGACGAGACGTTAATTGAAAGTTTCAATTAGAATTCGTTATGACATAACGACTTGCATGTTACGCAATAGAGGGAACCAACTGTTTACGCGTAACATTTAATACTGCATAAATCATCGTGCAGCAGAAGGTCGGTTCAAACATTGGAAAGATTTTTTTATAAGCTTCTGAACCTTGAATAGAATGATGCATCTTGTGCATCCTGTTTCCACGCGCGGTAAAAACGATGGGGAACACGTTCACGGGTTTTTCTTTTGTTCGAATAATTGTATAGCGCAGGGAACACAAGACAGATTGATTTTACAGCGTAACAAAGAAGCATTCGTGGCTAATTGATTCTCCAATTACCTCGCGATTTCTGCAATGTTGGATACATATTGTATGCCGTATAATATACTCGTAAAATCGATTTACGTTCGACTGGAGGCTGTGGGAAGATTCGAAACTTGATCAATGTCGCGGAGAGAAACATTATTTCCGTTCGAAGTTAAACGGAGAATGCGTGCCGTGGAACGGCTTCTTTAACAGCGAGGTAACAAGAGAATTTCTTAAGACTTTTCTCGTTAAATGTCTGCCCGAGGGCACGTAAACGAGAGCGAAGCCCTAGAAACCGTCCAGTTCTTGCCACCGCGTTAAAAAACGTTTATTTCTAATTAATTGGTTGGAAGGTGGAACGTAAAAGGAGCCAAACTTGTCGTCGCTTCAAACGTCAAGCAATATCGATGAAATATTGTATTAACGATAGCAAAAAATAGATACTCATACGGAGAAGTACCCAAGTGTTACACTCACTTATTAATGAAACTTTGCCAGCTTGTAGTGCTATAATCATTGCATTTATTAATAATTAATTACACTGCACTTTTAAAGAATATAAGTTATTCAAAATAGAATATAGAATTTTAGTTTAGAAATATATAGAATTTTAATTATTCAAAAACAGAAATTATTATCAAAAAAAAAAAAAAAAAAAAAAAATGGGAACCGAGGATTTGAACCGAGGACCTTTAGTTTGCGAGTCATGTGTTTAACCACAGAGCGGATCCATGACTCGCAATCTGAAAGTCCTCAGTTCAAATCCTTGGTTCCCAAAAATTTTTTTTTTTTTTTATGATAATTTTTATGTAATAGTTATTCAAAAAAAGACAAATTATCATTAAAAAAAAAAAAAAATGTTGGGAACCAAGGATTTGAATCGTGGATCTCTAGATTGCGAGTTGTATGTGTGAGTTTGTCATACTTCAGAATGTAAGGAGTAACTAACTGTAATTGTTAATATCTTTTATACAATTAGCCGCTAGTCCCCAAAAGGGGGTAAAGGCGTGTTCAGCTCGACGAGCTCTACAAGCTAGCAAAGTTTCATTAATAAGTGAGTGTAACACTTGGGTAGTTCCCCTTGTCAGTCTGAAATTATACGAAAGAACAGGGAGTCATTTGCACAATTTGTTACTAATTAAGAAATTGTAAAATAATCAAGAGGCAAATGAATTCAGCTCTGTCGGTTCTCTAAGGTTCGTTTGAAATTCCGCGACAAAAAGATGGGAAAAACGAACGCAATTCTTTAATTTCCTCGTCGTTGGCGGTGCGTGGACGAAAATAACGAGTGAATTTTTCACGAGGTATCCTCATTAAACGCGTGGCCTCAGGCGAGAATCGAGGATCCGTTGAATCCGATCGAAAGAGCAAAGACCATCGGCGCCAGAAGGTAACGAACCCTGACGTTTCCCAGCCCTCTGGATGCGATTGTGTACTTGGAGCGCATGCAATATGCTTTGTGCCAGGATGCCCGGGGCTAAGGTATTCCCTGCACTGGTGGCCCCCACGTGTAAAGCCGTGGCTAAGACCGACGTGTGCCAAGGGACTCTATTCGAAGGACCTGTGCACGATTTCGGAGACTCATCGACGTGAGGACGGACAGATATAGCGAGGAGGGTTGGTCCAAGCAAAGGGAAGAAGCGCGACTGAGCGATACGATGTGTTTACTCTGCTCAAATGTTGACCGAACTCCCTTCGCCACTCTCAGATCATATCCTGCGCTTTCGGACGAGCCTCTCAGGATATACGCGAACCTGGACCACCCTCTAAGATACCAGTCACCATCTATAGTCGATACAGACGATACACTAGAGGGAGATATTTTTAAAACAGTAAAAAAAATGAAATATAATAAACGTGAGTTTTAAGAGACAGCACCCAAAGCCTAAGTACTGTGCGTCGCCGACTCTCCGCAGCTGCAGTAATGATCCAACTCAGGTGACGGTCAAATTGTAACAACTTTCTCTTATATAATGAATGTGTAGAGTTTGTTGCGTAACTACGTAAAAATCAACGATTTAACGTGGAAAATTGTTGCCCAGATTGAAATTGCGTTTGAGATACTCATACGGTTTTAATTAATTGGAGGTTGATTATAATTTCCTGACTTTTCATTAGAGTTCAGTATACGAAGCAGATAATGAGCAGCGTACATTGCCAGAATGTTTGTCTAAATTTTCCAGTAAATATTGCAAATACCTAATCCTTCAGTAAACAATGTTAAAAAAGGAAATGTTTTTTTTATTTGTACGCAAAGAAGATCGCCTTAGATTTCACTGGACAATTCTCCAAGCAAAGTTTTAACCGTTGATATTTTTTTTTTGCACTAAAAACCGATACTCTGCAAATCTTCTTATTCCGTACCCGTCGAATGCACGAACGTCCCTTCGAATCTCGTCGCAATCGGCTTAATGGTTCGATCGGAATTTTGGATTTAGGACACGAGCGCGCACTCGCTCGAAACGCGTGTATTTTCAACCAACTGGATGAATCGCGTGCGTATTTCCATCAGAAAGTAATAAACAATTCTATGGATTTTAAATAACCGAGTTCGAACGGAAAAACCTTGCATTATATCGCGTCGAATCTGTTTCACGGCTAATAGCAATGGTACGCCGTCAAAGGCATAGTTTTGTTATCATTAAGCTCGAATCTTCCACACGTGTTCACCGTGATGATCCAATATTAATACAATTTCTAATATCCGAAATGGACGTTTCGATGAATTAAATATTGAACGTCAACTAATACAATGATACGTATGACAATCCGGTTACATAACGGATGCAGTGCTTTGATTAAATTGTATTTTCATTTTCCATCAATGTTCGGGAAAATCGCGTAACATATTTTGCGATCATCCAAAAGCAATTATTTTACATAATTCAATTCGATGACCCTTAATAAAATTTCATAAAAATTCGACAATGATCTGAAACTTCGAAAACCTCGAGAGTCTAACTATAGCAACGGTGATTAAGGTCCGTCCCCAATTAATTTCCATTGAAACGTTCGACTTGCTTCCACGATTTTTGCTGTACGCGAAACATCGGGATAATTAACACGTCGTTGGTGCTGGTGTTCGACCAAAACGTAGACTCGAGGCTTTTAGTCCACCCTCGTTCCCCATTCACCCCGTTCGTTGGTGGTTGTATTGGTGAACGACGAGGTTCCGGCAGTCGTTCTTCTCCAACCATCCTTGTCGACGTCGTCGTCGTCGTCGTCGGTACACCCCCTCGCTATATAGCAGGATATTACGGTGATGCGACAATGAACGCAGTGATCGCTATCTGGTTGGGTATTGGGGATGTCACCCCTGTCTACGCAGCAACGCGTACAAAATCGGGCATCGAATGGTAGAAACGAACGGAAAAAAGAGGGAAATCGAAAGAATTTCTGGGGGTAGAGGGTTGTAAAAAATATCTAGTAGTAAACACACGCTCGTACACGATTCAAACCAGAAGAGGAACGTAGTGCAATACACTCCCTTCCATAAGTCATGGAAAATTATCATTTTAAAATAAATTTGGAATTTAGAGAATAATTGAAGATAATAATAATTAAGGCATTGCTAAAATATAGAAAAATTGAATTTCAATCCCGTTGGAATAAACTGTGTACAAAGCCCCATGACTTATGAACGAGAGTGTATGTAGGTGCGTGCCTAAGCGGCAACCACCTAAACTACCCCCGACTGGTGCTTAAACTGCCTCCCCTTTTATTATGGGCCGCGACGGTTATTGGATTGTACCGTGCTATTTGTTGGCTGCCAGACTAATGGATCCATAATCACCGGGACAAATTAACGCAATGCGACGAGGACGATGGGGTGCTACTTTAAACACGACGCTTCTTCACGCTCGACGACTCAAACGTGCTTCTTGATTCAACCCTCACGAGGCTATTTTATCCCTGTTTTACTATAACTAACACATCAAACTTTATTTTCAAAGATTGAAAATCTTTTCAATCTTTGAAAATAAAGTGACAACGACTTCTCGGTTAATAAAACTCGGAAATAAATTCCATCCACCTTCGTTTCTTTCTATTTCCATCAGATGGACTGTTAAAAATCAGAGTATTCGTTTTGAAACGATCAAATCTCAGAATCCGATCTCTAATACTCGGTGAACAACTCTTCCGAGTTAAACGTTCGTCAAACTTTATGGGCGAGCAAATGAAATGAAATGAAATGAAATTCATGCAAATCGCGGCACAACCGACCAGTCTGGAAGGGCTTTTGTATCGGGGCGACGATGCGTCCAACCTATATCACGAGGGTGAAACCGTACTTCCCCCTTTGAAGCCACGAGCTTAGTGAATGAAACTTTGAACCAAGTCCCGACCACCATCGCGTCTTTTCGTGGTCTCGTTCGTTTAGGGTCGCTTTCGTCCATGTGCATCGTTACATTAAAAATTTCACTGTCCATATACTTTGACCATCGTTCGACCATTTTAAAAATAGTAAAAGCCAAGATGAAATCCCTCTAACAATTGAGTTGTCATTTCTGTTACAGATCATGCAAAGAACGGACCCAACTACTACGGTTCATTTGTCGGCAGTCTAAAAGAATATGGTCACGGAATCAAGGGCGATGTATACGTCCTGGACAGCTCAATGATATTCATCAAAGGATTCTGCTACGATGGAACCGGACCGGATGCCTACTTCTGGGTTGGAAACACTTCTGCGCCCAGTCCGCAGGGTTACATCGTCCCGTATCCAGAGATCGATAAGAACAGGTGAGAGATAACGCCTGTTTTGACTCGATTTCAATCACGGTTAACTCTTCCTGCGCGGATAAGCAAGGGCGATGAAGAAAGGGGTTGGTCAAGGATGAAGCGTGACAAAAACGTTTCGGGAAAGAAGAAAGGGACGTAAGCGACGTACCGTAACCAAGGGACGAAATGAAACTCAAAGAGTTTGTTGTATACGACGCACGGGGTAGTCAAGGGTGAGACAAGGGGGATGAAAACAGACGGAAGGCTAGACGAACCGTTCGCGGGGGTGGAGTTAATAAAACGGGAATTATACGACGATCTCGTCCGGATTTTATCCACGCGAGCACTTTATTACGTTTCGACTCGTATTTTGTTAAAAGTATCTCTTCCTCTTCGTTGTGGGTCAACTCGATACTCGATCGATAATTGCTTGTTTGCCGAAATCGTCCAAGTGTAATCGATACGATCAGATTCTCACCAGTTTCAGCGTTAAATACCGTGTCTTACCTAACACGATAGCGTACACATCGTACATCCTTCAAGCTCTATTTTTTTTTTGTTTCGTTACTTCCCGTCTGTACAGGGATCCACCGGTGTTGAAAGCGTACAACTATACGGACATCTTTCTGAAGCTGCCTGACGGGAAACAGATACGGGACATCAAATGGCTGAGCGTTTGGTGCCGTCGATTTACCGTGAGTGAACTCAAACATCTCAACGTTCCTTTCTTCCTCTATTTACCTGAAAATCGTAGCATCGAATGTTTGTAACGTACGTGCCTTTAAACCGAGGGAAAAATCGAAGCCAACTCGAGGAAGGTCTTAAAGAAAGAAAAAAGAAAGAAAGAAAAGTCTCGCTCGATTTCCTCTTTCTTCGTACAAATACTCTTGTCTCGTTGGATCCGATAATAAAACGACGATCCTCTGTAATCTCGCGCACGATATTTCCGATAGATTTGTACGATACAAAGTCCTCGATCCGCAACCCCCTCTTCCCCCATAAGATCACCACCCCTCGCAGTGACGTTTTATTCGAAACCCCAGCGATGCACGGAGAATGGAGATAACTTGATTTTTGAGGAGGTCTACGGCCTACCCTATCGGACGTGCATTCGTGGTCAATGACGCGTGTGAGATGGATACGGAAGCGGTAACTAGGGTGGTGCACGGGTTTTCGCAGATACGCACAAGTACGCGTGCCAAGGGCTTCGTTGTTGTGCGTCTGAACATGTGCGTTTAAGTCTCTCTTTACTCCCCTATTCTCTTCCTACTTAGATTTTTTCCGCCCGGTTTAAGATCAGCGGGTTACCACTTGCCTGATGTATTTGATTATTTGCAATTGGTACTCGTTATATTTATTTGCAATTAATAATTAACATATGTATAATTGAAACGGTCCCGCATACTAGGAGACACCTTGTATATTTTTACGCTTCCTCAGGAGCCGTCAGCGCGAAGTTTAATAAATCTGCCCATCCCCTTTCCAGGATCCACCCTCGCACGCCCACTCGCTTACCCACGAAATCCTGTCGTCCGGTCGGTCGCACAAAAGTCAGTCGGTATCGGTAGCTTGGAAATTTCCGAGAGGTAGGGGAAAAGGTTTGAAACGAGCATATCGACGGTAGAGAGCAGAGCTTTTGCTCTTATATTAGAAGGGCTTTAATATCGAAGTCTGAGGGGTGCTCTCGTACCGTGACAACCCTCCATCAGACACGCTCTGTCACCGCAAAACGCGTTGTCCGCCGCCTATGCTCGGTTCTACAGGGTGTCCCGTTACGATGTGTCCCAGCAAAGTGATCGTCCTTTCCTATAAATCCTACCCTTCTCACCCTCTGGTACGTTGAGTGCACCGATCGGGAACGTGAGTGGTAGCCGAACGTCGAACGTGCAAGGGACCACGATGAATCGTACGATCACGATTTCGCGATAGGAATATAAAAAGGACTCTTGTAACGTTTCGAGAAATGGTACCCTATGAAAGATTAAAGCGTTTCTCTTGAAAGCTGGTGTACCTTCCCCTCGCTACCCAGCAACGATTAATCGCGGAGAGTACATTTTGATCGTTGGATTTGATGATGAAAAATAATCAGATATTTATATAAAATTTTAGGTGATAGATTTATCAAATCCGGATCACCATAGAAATTTTCCTTGTTAGCCATACAATTTGTGTAATGTATGAATGCATCTTGATACGGCCATCAAATCCGAGTTCCCTTGTTTCCCTATCCTCTTTCATCTACTTTCGATTCACAGAAGTCTCGGAACGAGTGAAGTGTACCGATCTCTCGAAGGGGCAGGGGGTTGTCTGATACACACTGGGGTAGACGTAGGTTTTGCTTGGGTATCTGGTAGACAGGAGCTGTCTGTCAGTCAGCACACCCTCGTCGAAGGATGTATTGTCGGAATAAGCCTTCTTCTTGTTCCGCTTCCCCTCTCTGTCATTGTACCCTCTCGATACACCACCGACACGGGGCTGATTTCTTTTGAAAAGGAACAGAGATATCCTCGGTCGATATCAAACCGCCGTTCAATGGACCACTGATTCAGATAGGATTTAGTAATTTTTTTTTTTCTTCTTCTCCCAGTGTCCGTCCCCTTGCCGACCAACGTCCAAAATGGTCCCGCCACTTTTGCACGCGATTGGAGAGGGGAAGCCGAACGGGATCTCTTATCCACGGGGCTTCCTCGGGGAATCCAAAACGTTAAAGCCGTTGATCGGTCTTTCATCTCGTTTCGTCCCTTCCTTTTTCCCTATTTCTCTTACCTAGCGATACCGTGTCCATTGCTGACCCTTGGGAAACTCTGTTTGACCACTGTCGGGAAGCAGTGATGAAAAAAAAGGTCGATGACTTGTGAAAGGAACATAGATCCTTTAACCCTCTCGAGATAGCGACCTGATTCGGGACCAAGTATTCTTAGTATTGCAAATGTTCGTTTACATCTTCGTCAAGTTAATGGGATAATGAAAAAACACCTGGTATAAGTTATACAACTAGTCGGCGCTATTAGGGGGCGTTTCACTTGCTGTCTGACCAATGCACGACACACTCTACTGCGACATGTTCAGGGTAAAGGATCTCGCGGAAATGGTGGGATAAAAGGAAAAATCGAATCGTTTTATCTCTTAATCTCGTACGTACCTTTCGTATTACGAACACGATTCGTGCTACATAAATTTAATCTTCGTTCCTATCTTTACCGCAATTACCATCCACGCAGTCGCGAAACCGGAAGATAAACGTTTGCGTAACTAGAATTTTATTACCGAGTTTGCAATTCTGGTTCGCGCACGAATATATTACAGGGACAATTATAAAATATTATGCTAATAATCGTCAGAAACGAAGAAACTGTCGAGTGGTTTCTTTGTCGATTTTCTAATTCGATCCCGACAAAACTCGAATGGGATTTAAATTCTTTCGGGAAAAGGATATCGTTTCGACCAGCGGTTTTCGGTGATGCCTGTGTTTTAACCGGAAGAAGAGAAGGGTCGGTCCCGTGGGCGTGTCACGGCATTTGCATCTGAATTCTCCTTCTCTTTCCACGAACACTGGAGTTAATTAAACGCCTCATAGTTTTCGGGGTTGGATGACGAAGTACGACTGCTTGTGGCACCAAGTGGACGATCCTAGCCCGCGACGAGCGTCAATTAATAACCGTTTCAAACGGATTCTAAACGTCGAGCACCGTTTTTATAATAGGATTCTTAACAAGATCCCTCTGTTTACCGTCGCCTATTATCTACACTCGAATACCATTATACAGGGTGTTCGGTATAACGTTCGCCGTTTTTTCGCGATTGATAGACCTCTGTGTGTTTCAATTTTCATTGAAAACAAAAGTAGATGAGTAAAAATTTCGATCAAAGAAGCCTTGATGTTTAAAACGTCGATTGCCAATACGATAGGAATGAAAAAAATAATATCTGTACGCTCGTTGAAAAAAATATTCTGTCGTAGATTAGGCGCGTTTTGAAGATGAAAAAATGGTGGAAAACAACGTTGCAAAAACAGAAGCGAAAGCTCTCGTATAAATCGTTTGCATTGACAGTATTTATTGTGCCGGAACGGTAAATGTTTTCCAGTCACGTTGAAGGACTCCTCGGAAAACATTCCATGGCATTCCCGTTTCCCTCTTTCCAGTCGACGCTAATCGCCGATCGAAAATCGGTAATATCGTCCCCAAATATTTTACAGACGTATTAAACACAGACAAGGAATATTATTTTAAACAATCAAAAGATTTCCTTTATATTCATCGTCAGTCATAACATGTCATTAAAATCTGAATATTTTCCTGAAAATTTTGCAACCAATTTAGGGGTCTTTTAAAATTGTTCTGGTAACGTTTCACGCAGCCACCCTTTTGTGACCATTGGGAGTTAGTAAATTTCAACTTGATCTTTAGAATAACGTAGAGAAATGTTGTTTGACAAGGGTGACAACAAAGTCGTTATAAGTTGAGAATTGGATCGGGCCCATCACTAGTCCTGGGTAAAATTGTTGCGCATGGGCAGAGAGCAGCTCACCGGGTCGATGTTGGCCGGGGCTGGCTGACTGGCTGCCGGCTGCTACCCGAGGATGCTCTCCCCTTTCTCTTCATCTCTATCTTCCCACCCTTCTGTCCTCTGTCCTCCCTCCAACCCCCATTTCCACCCTTACTCTCTAACCTTTCTCTGTCTCGATCTCGCTTCCTCTTTTCCTCCAAAAATTCTTCTCAAAACCTTCCTTGTCACCTCTGTTCTCGCCCTCACTTCCGCTTCCTCCTTTTGTACCGTTGCATCTACACTCTCTCCTCCCTCTACCTTTTTGAAAAATTATTTAACTTCGTCGCCGTTTCTTCGTTCTCTTTCTTCTCGCGAACTTTTTACCTTTTTATCGTTCTCACGAATATTTTTCAAAGATTTCTTCCGTGTTTTATTATTCATTCTTAAAATCACTTCGAGGTAGTTTTCTTTTACTTTGTTGCCAGTCATTCTTACTTTGTGCCTCTTGTCGGGTCCGTCGACTTAAGCAGCCGCCATTTTGAGGAGACACTGCCGCGTTCAGAGCCGGTACCGACTTAAGAAAGCTGAAAGATACTTCGATCGAAAGCTGCGAAAGGAGTTCTTTGAATTTTAGAAACCATATCGCGGTATCTCTAACAAGGATTTTTCTGACGGGAAAAAACGAACGAAGAAATAAGCAGAAGTTTCGTGAAACTTTTCTTGTTAGCCTGTTTTAAAAGATGAACCTTACCGCGTTATCTGATCGGAAGAGAATCTTTTTTTCTCTTTGCTCGGAACTGGAGGTGGAGGGACAAATTTGTTATAACAAATTGTTCAGTAAAACGTTGTTTGATATCGTTTGAATACCAGCTCGTAATCTCATAACTCGAACGATGAAGGGTGGTAGTGTGTACCGTAACAGGACGCCATTTTGAAGCCACCCCAAAGCTTTGCACACACTTCAAAGCACCCACAGTGGTGCATCAGGTGCACCAAGCTGCAGTCACGCATATAGGGCGATACAGTGCAGCAAGTACCGTTGGAATCTCGCCAAAATTGTATAAAATTACCTCCCACCGTGACCAAAAAAAGAGAGAGAAAAAAAAAGAAAGAAAATTCGCCGCTCTATCGAGATTTTAACGCATCGAAAAACGCGAAAATCCAGTTATCCCCGTGTTTTTCTTTCCTTCGTCAAGCGGAACGTTAT